TGCGGGGTGTAGAACAACTTTAGGAAATGTACAATTCTTCAATTCTGTAAATCAAATTTAAAAAAAAATTGCATGCGACAAATAATATGACAAAAATTGAAAAAAATTAACAAAAAATATTCACTTTTTTATTGGCGTATTTTTATGATTTTCTTAGTTTTGGTCTATATTTGTCTGCAAATTCAAGATATTTATTTGTTTTTGTCCATCTCAACCCCTAACTATTTTGTAATCTTCTCCCACAACAGTAGGCTGCTATTCTAATCTTAACCCCACCTCCATGTAAAGTTTCGTAAGGATCGGTCGATAATTGCAACCTGTGGCGTGATTACAAATTAACATGGACAGACGGACATACATAGCTAGATGGACTCAGCTCGGCGAGATCTATATGTTCCCATGTTTTGGACAAAAATATTTCGAGGTGCTACTTTTGGGTCAATCAAACTTATAATACCCCCACAACTATCTTTAAACGTAAGAGTAGGAATTCAAAATATTCTTGCAGCAAGTGATATATTAGTCATAAAATTCTAATATAGGTCTCAGAATACATCAAAAGTCTTAATCTTCCCATTTTAGGGCTAAAGCCGTATATAGAAAGATAACGTAAAAAACAAAACAATTCTCAACCAAATTTCACCATATCTCATCAAAGGAAAGAAATCTCTATTTGCATCAGATATTTGAAATTTTCCTTGGTGATGCGTGAAAGGAAAAAAAAATACCCCTTTGTTGACTCGTTTGATGGTTAAAAATAGAAATAAGTAAAAAAAAAACATCCGCCATTTCAGAGGAACTTGAAAAACTTTAAAAAATGTCGTCGAAGATTTTCCGTCATGGGTTGAAGTATCCATTATATTAAGTTCAAATGCGAAATTTTAAACAATTCCTGCGAATAACGTCGCTAAAGTCATCAAAGTACCGAATATCGGAAGGTATCGTTATATGGGGGCTATACGAAGACGAAGACCAGGATATGTAATTTTTTTTTTGTCATTGGCTGTAGTACCCTTTAATCCATTAAATAATGTCGATAATATCATCAAAATACCGAAAAAGGGAGGTACCCTTATATGTGGGTTATGCGAAGATGTGAACTTGCATAGATCTGGTCTGATCTGTTATAGGTTGAAGTATCCGTTAAGAGCGTCCAATACGAAACAATTTCGGCCTATAATGTTACTAAAATCATCAAAATACCGAATATTGAGAGGTACCGAGAGGTTTCAAAGAAATATTTAAAAAATGTGCGATTCGAGAAAAATTGCTTTGAAAAATCTGTGATTTTTATATCTTTGAAAAAAATATTTTTAAAATATTAAAGTTCTTTCAAGAACATTCTTACAACTTTCACAAAATCAGCGGTTATAAAATTCATCGAAAAAAATATTTTTATAAAATTCATTATTATGGATATCCTTGAGAAATATTATTTTAAAATATTCTTTAAAATAATTGAAGCTTTATAAAATATTTTTTTTTTGCAAAATTGGTGATTGTCAATCTTGTCGTTGAAATATATTTTTAAAATATTAAGGTCTTCCAAAAATATTTAAAAAAAAATCTACAATTATTAGCTAATTATCCACGAATTTAAAAAAATATATGATTTTGAAAAGTCCACAAATATGAATGTCCATCAAAAATATTTTTAAAAAATATCTCTATTATTTTAGAGGTCCTCCAAAAAATTCTTTAAAAAATCTAGGATAAAAGTTGAAACTTAAAAAAATGTTTTTTTTTTTCTTCAAAAATCCAAGATCTTCCAGAAATATTTTTAAATATTCAACAATTATTTATTTTTTTTACTCTGAATATTAAACAAAACATATTTTAGCGAATCCTCGACTAAAAATAATTTTAAAAATATAAATATATAATAGTTTGTACTTAAAAATGGGCTTTAAAAAATCCAAAGCCTTCCAAAAAATATTTAAAAAAAAATCCACAATTATTAACCAATTAACAATGAATTAATTTTTTGAACGATATGCAAATATGTAGTTTCTTCAAAAATATTTAAAATATATATATATATATACCAAACGCAGTGATTACAAATCTAGGATAAATGTTAGGAAAATATATTTTTAAAATATTAAGGTCTTCCAAAAATATTTTTAAAAAGGTCCTCCAAAAATTTCTTTAAAAAATGTAGGATAAAAGTTGGAACTTGAAAAAATGTTTCTTTTTTCTTCAAAAATTCAAGATCTTCCAAAAATATTTTTAAAAATTTACAATTATTTAATTTTTTTTCTCTGAATATTAAACAAAAAATATTTTAGCGAATCCTCGACTAAAAATATTTTTAAAAATATAAATAAAAGCCTTCCAAAAAATATTTAAAAAAAATCCACAATTATGAACCAATTAACAATGAATTAATTTTTTGAACGATATGCAAATATGTAGTTTCTTCAAAAATATTTAAAACAATATATATATATATATATATATATATATATATATATATATATATATATATATATATATATATATATATATATATATATATATATATATATATATATATAGATATATATATATATATATATATATATATACCAAACGCAGTGATTACAAATCTAGGATAAAAGTTAGGAAAATATGTTTTTAAATTATCGAAGTCTTCCAAAAAAACATTTTTAACAATTAAATTTAAAAAAAAAATTATAAATGTTTTCCAAAAATATTTTTAAAAATATCACTATTATAGTGGTTCTCCAAAATTTTTTTATACCCTACACCACAAGGTCAGGGTATTATGTCTTTGTGCAACAGGCAGAAGGAAACGAGATAGACCCATAGTTCCTTTTGATGATCTGCATAGAATCACATTCTGAGTCGATTTATGCATGTCCGTCCGTCCGTCCGTCCGTCTGTCCGTCTGTCCGTCCGTCCGTCCGTCCGTATGTCCATGTATTTTTGTAAACAAAGTACAGGTCGCATTGATTGCCCGATCCAGATGAAATTTTGCAAAGATCTTTTGTTTGGCCCAAGGATGAACCCCATTGAAATTGGAGATAATCGGTAAAAATTTACATATAGCTCCCATATATATCTTCGTCCGATTTGCTTTTTATTGTGCACCAAACGTGAAATATCAGCCCGAATTGTATGGAATTTTGCATATACACCCAAATTGGGCCTGAAAATATGTATGCCTAATTTGATCGAAATCGGTTCAGATATAGCTACAGCTCCCATATATATTGTTCATCCGATTTGTTATTTTTGCCCTCTGCAGCCGTAATATACACTCTGTAACAACAATATTTGGGGAAATATATCAAATAAAGCTCAGAAATACATTTGCTAAATTTTATCGAGATCGGTTCAGATTTGGATATAGCTCCCATATATAACTTCGTCCGATTTACCTTTTATTGTGCACCAAATGTCTAATATTTGTCCAAATGGAATGGAATTTGGCACTTACGACCGAATCGGGTCTAGAAGGTAGTATGTCAAATTTGGTAAAGATCGGTTCAGATGTAGCTATAGCTTCTATGTATATTATTCATCCGATTTGTTATATTTGTTACCCAAAGCTGTAATATGCACTCCGTAACAATGATATTCAGGGAAATATATAAAATACAGTTCAGAAATATCTTTGCCAAATTTTATCGAGATCGGTTCAGATTTGGATATAGCTCCCATATATATCTTTATCCGATTTCAAATTAATTGTGCACCAAATGGTCAATATAAGCCCGAATTTAAAAGATACAAATGCTTCGGCATGTTTAGTCCTTTGAACTTTAAATTATAATTATAATCATTGCGTGTATGATTGAATTCTCCCCTAAAAACTTTTAATTGTTATGTGGAGCTCTACTTAATTACCAAAATGGTGTAGGGTATCATAAAGTCGGCCCCGCCCGACTTTAAGACTTTCTTTACTGGTTTAAATCTAGGATAATAGTTGTGACTTGAAAAAATGTTTTCAAAAAATCCAAGGTATTTTGAAGAAGTTTTAAAAAATTCTAAATTATTAACTAAAGAATCAAGAATTTAAGAAAATATATATTTTTGAAAGCCCTCGATTACGAATATCTTTCTAAAATATTTTTAAAAAATAACACAATTATGTAGGACCTCGAAATAATATTTTTTAAAAAATCTAGGATAATAGTTGGGTCTGGAAAAATTTGTTTAAAAAAATCCAATGTTATGAAAGTCTACCCACAAATCTTTTAAAAAATCCGCAATTATGTTGGTAGTCAAAAAATATTTTGAAGAATTCTGGGTTATAAATATCCTTAAAATCAATGTACAAGATATAGAATATAGCTATCCTCAAAAATATTGCCAAAGGATACAAAACTCAAGGTGTCATTCAAATATTATTTTTAAAAAACTATTCACGTTTTGTGGGCCAGGTTTAATGCTATAACTAAGAGAGTGGGAGAGAGAGAGAGAGAGAGAGAGGGGATCAACTGTTAAAATTTTATCTTCACCTTTTTCAATTTCAACCTCAACTTTCGGTGAGAAATTTCAAGCAATTCCAATAACTTCGTTACAAAATAGTCTCTCCCCTGAGAATTTTGAATTTAAAAATTTCTTTTAAATTTCAAAATAAACATTCAAACGACGTTAAACAAAATTTGCAAAAATTTCCATATGTTTTCTTTGAAATAATAAAAATAACAGCCAATCTAAACCAAACATGGGAAATATTAAAATCAGAATTTCTCACAAAGGGAAAAGGACATCTACGCCAACAACATGTCGCCGGTGACAACAAAAACAAAAGTGGCAACAACAATGTTTATTCTTTATTTTTCGAAAAAGATAAACAATGGCAATATCAAAAAGTTTAAAAATAATAACAAAAGGGACAACAGAGAACTATTACAGCAACAACAACAACAACTAGTTGGAAAAAAGGACACACAAATTATAAGCCACAATGTGAGGTAAGCGAAGAAGCAGAAGGGGAGGGTGGGAGAATTGTATGGCCCACTTTAAAACTTGTCAAAGGTTAAAAAAGTATGAGACGCCCTGAAAACGCCAATCCAAACAAAACTCCAAAAAGGCAAAATTACTTTCGAGCCCTCAAATGTCCTCTGATACCACCCAGTAGGAAAACAGTACCTTTTTTTTGCTAAGCCAAGATTCTGGGTAAACTTAACAAATATCGGATAATTGTGCACACACTTCACCACCCCTCCGCAAAACCACTCGAAGGGTGTGAAAATTTGTGGCACGCGCCATTGATTAGCTGGCCGACAGCCTGGCTCTGCTTGTTATTTCAAATTGCTGGGGTTAGAGTTGAGTTGAGGTTGAAAAAACAATATGTCATTTGTCACTAATTCGTCACCCCCCAAAAAATATTTCCGTACAAAATATTTCCGACCATTGTTTTGACAAGTGCCGGTCGTGTCAACATTGCAATGTTTATAGAGGAATTTCGAAAAATAAAATAGGTTTACGTGCTCCTCGAAGTGCCATGGATTAGCAGAAAAATTATCAAACCCCTCCACTCTAGTCTTGGAGGAAATAAAAAGGGGTTCGGCAACTGGTTGACTATGCATGTGATTTTGTTGATGTTGTCCTTTCTATTTTGGCATATCCTTTTTTGACACTTCATTTACTCTTTCAGGTTGAAATCATTTTAATTTTTTGTTTCGTTTTTTTCAGGGGATCGCCTTTTGGATATACCCTGCAAGGTGTGTGGCGATCGCAGTTCCGGTAAACATTATGGGATATACAGTTGTGATGGTAAGTTTAAAAATTTAATTACAAAAAATATATATTTTTGAAAAATTATTCTTAACCCTTTGAACCCCGTGAATTGCCCTTTCTAGGACCCCTTGGGCCAATTTAAACATTAACAAGTTAAAGGGTATCATTCGGTTTTTCCGACAGATGCAAACCCTCAGCCCATGTTCGATTATTTAAATATATTTTAACTTATGTCATGATTATTCAAATTTTTGACCCTCTACGAAGTAGGTTCCAAAGGAATTGGTTCCAATAGGAATAGGTTCCATTTCGCATCGGACATGAATAAATATGACATAAATATTGCGATGTGCCAGATTTGGACTCTATCGACTACTTCCTTCACTTTACATGAGATATGTGATACGTATACCTTCAGCCATATGTCTAGAGAGGGTATATATCATTTGATACTGCCAAAACTTGCCTCATTGAAATAATGCCTTTAGACCCTAGGTTTCTTTGGACCAAATCCGTTTCAGGACATTTGGAGTCGATCTACCGATGTCCGTCCGTCCGTTTGTCTGTCGGGATGGCTGGTGCGCACGATTATTCTCGAAGGGATCACCGATTTAGTCCAAACATGGTACATCGTAATATTTTTATCAAACTTAGATCGAGTTCGGAGATGGGCAATATCCACTCCTTCTGGCACCTCCCACACAAAACGCGGAAATTTTTCAAAAAATACATTTTCTGCACAGAACCAGAAAGGATAACCCGATTTTGCTCCAACTTTGCAAATCCTAATATTTACGTCAGTTCTAGGTCAGGTGAGAAAATGGACAATATCGATCCAATACTTGGTGTCAGCACAAAGGGTCAGCATTTCGAATAATTATAACTCATATAAAATGTGATGTAAGGGTCCGATTGTCTTTAAATTTCATACATCCCAATATTTTTATTAACCCAAGGTCTGGTGCTAAGATGGAAAAAGGTCGAAATTTTCAAAAATAAAAAAAAAACAGACAAACAAAAAAATATCTTTTGCGCAGAAAGAGAAGCAATAATCCGATTTTATTCTAGCTTTGCAAATCCCAATATCTGCGTCAGTTCTAGGTCAGGTGCAAAATAATATCGGTCAAGTGCCTCCCCCACAAAAGGTCGAAATTTTGAATATCCAATGAAAAAAAATTAATACCCGATTCCATTTAGACTTGGCACATCTGAACATTTCTATCAACACAGGATCTGTTACAAAAACGGTAGAGATCGGACCATTTCTTCTGGTACCTTCCCCACAAAAGGTAAAAGCTTGAATAACCAAAACAATTATAGAATCCGAAATAAACATTCGAAATAATCCGAAATAATTATTGATCCACTCCTCTGGTACTTCCCCAAAAAATGTCAATATTTTTAAAGAAAAAAATTTACTGCACAGAATGATAAAGGATAAACCGATTTTGCTCCAAATCCTAATATTTCCAACAGTGCTAGGTCAGGTGTGAATATGGACAATATCGGTCCACTCCACGAAGTACCTCCCTCACAAAGGGTCAAATTTTGAATTATAATAACTCTTATAAAATGTGATGTAAGAGTCAGATTGTCTTCATATTTCACACATCCCATTATTTCTAGTAACACAAAATCTGCTGTGAAGATGGAATGTATCGGTCCACTCCTTCTGGTACCTCCCCAAGGCGAGAAATTTTTGAATAATCATGAAGCTTATACATCTCTACATCTCAATATTTCCATCAAGAAAAGATAAATAAAGAAAAGATGATAAATAATAAAGATGGTAGAGATCGGATCATTTCGTTTGCTACCTGCCTCACATAGGGTTCAAGATTTTGAAAAACAAAACTCGCAATGAAAGTGTAATAACTCCCTTCAAATTTAACACATACAAAAAATTTTTGCAAACTAAGCTCTGTAGTGAAGATGATATACTGCGAACACCTTCTGGTACCTCACCCACAAAGGGTGTTATAAATTGTGAAACGATTTTTTCATATAAATATTTCGATGAGGCAAGTTCTGGTCGTATCAAATGATATATACCCTCTTTAGCCATATGGCTGAGGTTATAAAAAATGCATGTTTGTTGTGTGGATGGTCCCTTAAAAAGTTATTTAAAAAAATCCACGTTTATTGTTGGGATAGTCCTTGAAAAAAAATATTTAAAAAAGTTAAAAAAAACCGACGGTTTTGCCGACATATTTATGTCCCAAGCCTTGAATTATGATTATTCACACTGTTGACTCTTTATGGGAGAGGTTTCGAAACAGTTGGATAATATTGTCCAATTTGTATCTGTCTTAAGACTGATATAAATATTACAACGTGCCATATTTGGACTACATCGTATATTTCCTATACTTTATATAAGATATTTGCAAATATTTGCAGGATATAAAATTTGGCAAAGGTATTTCCGAGCTTTATAAGATATCTGGTACCAAATATCATTGTTGTCGATTGTACATTAGAATGTGAAAGACTTAAACACCAAATCGGATGAAACATATATATGGGAGCTATAGCCATATTTGAACCGATTTTTCCCAAATCTGATGTACTTACTTCTAGACTGAATTCGGTCGGATGTACCAAATTTCAGTACTTTTGGTAATTTGGTGCACAATTAACCCGAAATTGGTTGAAGACATATGGGACCTATATCCAAATCTGAACCGATTTTGATACAATTTGGTACATTTATTTTAGAGCTGCATCACGTATCTGGCACTAAATAAAGTTGTTTTGGAATGCATATTACGCTTGTGAGGGACTTTAAACACCAAATCGGTTAAAATATTCACATGGGAGCTAAAGCTATATCTGAAGTATCTGATGCCCTAGCAGTATCTGATGCCCAGTATCAAATATCATTCTTCTTGTGTAAATATTGCGCATGTAAGGGGCTTAAAACCCCAAATCTGATTAAACATGTATATGGGATCCATAGCTGTATTTGAACCAATTTTGAACTTACTTTTAGACTGAATTCGGTCGGAAGTGCCAAAATTCAGGTCATTTGGACTGATATTGGCCATTTGGTGTACAATTAATCGGAAATCGGTTGAAGATATATATGCGAGCTACATCTAAATTTGAACCGCTACTCACCAATTTCAATAGGGTTCGTCCTTGGGCCAAACAAATATTGTTTGGAAAATTTAATCTCAATTGGATAGTAAATGCGACCTGCATTATGTTCACAAGAATACATGGACAGACGGCTTGACAAGCAAAAATCGACCTAGAGAGTGGTTCTATGAAGTTCCTCAAAAGATGGGTCTTACTAGAGTCCTTCTCCATGTTATAAACAAATGCACAAAGACATCATACCCTTACCACTAAGTGGTGTAGGGTATAAATACTTACGCACGTCTTCGTACAGCTCCATATAACGGTTATCATTGCAGCGACATTTTTCAAGAATTTTTTATACCCTCCACCATAGTATGGAGGGTACATTAAGTTTGTCATTCCGTTTGTAACACCTCGAAATACACATTTTAGACCCCACAAAGTACATATATTCTTGATCAGCATTAAATTCTTTGTCGATTTAGCGATGTCCGTCCGTCTATCCGTCTGTGGAAATCACTCTAGCTTCCGAACGAATTGAAGTTGATTGATAAAATTGTATGATTTTAGCGACATTATTCACCGGAATAGTTTCAAATTTGGTATTTGAAATTCAAAATGGATACTACAGCCTAAGACAGAAAATTGTCTGTGCAGGTCCACCTCTTCGTAAAGCCCCCATATAACGGTACCTCCCGATATTCGGTATTTTAATGATTTTAGGGACATTTTTCACCAGAATTGTTTCAAATTTGTTATTTGAAGTTCGTAATGGGTACTACGACTTACGACAGAAAATTGTATGTACAGGTCCACGTCTTCGTATAGCCCCCATATAACTGTACCTCTCGATATTCGGTATTTTGATGATTTTAGCGTCATTATTCGCCGGATTAGTTTCAAATTACGAATTTAGAGTTTGTAATGGGAACTACAGTCTATGACAGAAAATTGTCTATGCAGGTCCAGGTCTTCGTATAGGCCCCAGATACCAGTACCTCCCTATATTTGGTATTTTGATGATTTTAGCGAATTTATTCACCGGAATTGTTTCAAATTTGGTATTTGGAGATCGAAATGGAAACTACAGCCTAAGACAGAAAATTGTATGTGCAGGTCCACCTCTTCGTAAAGCCCCCATATAACGGTACCTCCCGATATTCGGCATTTTAATGATTCTAGGGACATTTTTCACTGGAATTGTTTCAAATTTGGTATTTGGCGTTCGTAATGGATACTACAGCCTAAGACAGAAAATTGTCTGTGCCACGTCCTCGTATACCCTCCATATAACGGCACCTAACGATATTCGGTATTTTGATGATGTTAGCGACATTATTCACTGGAATTGTTTCAAAATACGTATTTAGGGTTCGTAATGGGAACTACAGTCTACAGGCCCCATATATCAGTACCTAACTATATTCGGTATTGGTACAATACCCACCGAAATTGTTTGAGATGTCGTATTTGAACTTCGTAACGGATGCTACAGCCTGTGACAGGAAATTATCTATGCTGGTCCAGGTCTTCGCACAGCTCCGATATATCGGTACCTCCCTATATACGATATTTTGATGATTTTACCTATATTATTCACCGTTTATTTCAAGTTTCGAATTTGAATATGGTAATGGCTTATGACGTCGTATAGACCCCAATATGACGGCTATATTCGGTATTTTTAAATTTTTAACAGGATTTTTTAAGGATTTTATTTTTTTAAAATTTCCAAATTCGTTCTAAATGGTGGAGGGTATTAAAAGTTCGACCTGGCCGAATTTATTGCCTTTTAACTGGTTTTTATTCGATGAACACTAATAATATTTAAAAAAATTGTTTCTGGATATCCTTAAAAAATTTTTTTTCTAATTCTAAGAATATTAACTACTTAAAAAAAACATGTGTGTGGATAACCGTTTGAAAATTTTGTAAAAAAATCCATATTTCTCAAAATTCTATTTGCTTTTTATATAATCTTCAATTTTATTTCTCGACTTCCAGGTTGCTCCGGCTTCTTCAAACGCAGCATTCATCGCAATCGCATTTACACCTGCAAGGCGACGGGTGATATGAAGGGACGCTGTCCCGTCGACAAAACACATCGTAACCAGTGTCGGGCATGTCGTTTGAATAAATGCTTTCAATCGGCCATGAATAAAGATGGTAAGTAGCCACAAAATATAAATCTCTTTCCCCATTGCCTCTTGTAAGTTCTAATCTGAAAAAGTGATTTCGTGCGGTCTTAAAATAACATAAAGAAGCCCATAAGCCCAAAATGCCTTTAGTCCTCGCAGCAGCGATATCCTTGCTGTAATGTTAAGAAAATAAAATTAATTATGCAAAATACGATTTATAATCAGTTGAGGAGATGTAATTAACACTTGAGTGTTTGGTTGTGTGTGAGTGTTTATGGAGAACACTCCGGCAGGATATCGCTCATTAAAGATGCATGTAAATGTTGTTTTTTAACATACCACAAGGATAATGAGATAATAGTCTTTGTAACACTTGAATACTTGGTGTGATTATTATTTTTGGCAGGAAAAGTTTTTGGCGGGGGTTTTGAAAAGGTGTTGCCAAGGTTGGTAGGCTAACAGTTGAAAGGCTGAAGGATAATATCAGGAGAGAGTTTAAAGTTTATAACAAATTCCTTAATGGGTTATCAGTAATGTATGAGTGTAGAACTTTTTAAAAAAGTTATTTTTACGGTCCCGGAATTCAAAAATTCTTAGGACGCTAATATTTTACAAATTCTTACTATTCAATTTTGAGAATTCGGATTTTTAAAAGAATGTTCAAAGGAGAGTACAGCCTCATGTGATTTTCTTAAAAAAAACTTTCTTTTCAAAAAAAAAAAAAAAAAAATAAAATAAAATCCGTTCAAAATTCTGTTAAAATCTTAAAAATTAGGGTCTATACTACGACGTGGACCTGCATAGGCAACTTTTGTCACAAGTTATTACAATATTCAAATGCGAAACTTGAAAAAAAAAATCTGTTTATAATGTAGCTAAAATCATCAAAATACCGAATGTCGGGAGGTACCGTTATATGGGGGCTATAAGAAGACGTGGACCTGCAAAGACAATCTTCTGTCATAGGCTGTAATATTTATTACGAACTTCAAATACCAAATTTGAAACAATTGCGGTAAATAATGTCGCTAAAATCATCAAAATACCGAATATCGGGAGGTACCGTTATATGGGGGCTATACGAAGACGTGAACCTGCACAGACAATTATCTGTCATAGGCTGTAGTATCCATTATGAACTTCAAATACCAAATTTGAAATAATTCCGGTGAAAATAGTCGCTAAGAACATCAAAATACCGAAAATATGGAGGTACCGCTATATGGGGGCTATACGAAGACGTGGACTCGCACAGACAATTTTCTGTCATAGGCTGTAGTATCCATTATGAACTTCAAATGCGAAATTTGAAACAATTCCGTTAAATAGTGTCTCTAAAATCATCAAAAAACCCAAAATCGGGGGTTCCGTTATATAGGGGCTATACAAAGACGTGGACCTGCACAGACAATTGTCTGTCATAGGCTGTAGTATCCATTACGAACGTCAAATACAAAATGTGAAATAATTCCGGTAAATGATGTCGCTAAAATCATCAAAATACCGAATATCGGGAGGTAACGTCATATGGGGGCTATACGAAGACGTGGACCTACATAGCTAATTTTCTGTCTTAGGATGTAGTATCCATTATGAACTTCAAATACCAAATTTGAAACGAGTCCGGAAAATATTGTTGCTAAAATCATCCAAATACCGAAAATCGGGAGGCATCGTTATATGGAGGCTATACGAAGACGTGGATCTGCAGAGACAATCTTCTGTCACAGGCTGTAGTATTCATTACGAACTTCAAATACCAAATTTGAAACAATTCCGGTGAATAATGTCGCTAAAATCATCGAAATACCGAATATCTGGAGGTACCGTTATATGAGGGCTATACGAAGACGTGGACCTACATGGCCCATTTTCAATACCAAAAGTCCTGCAGACATAATACACATTTGAGTAAAATTTTATCAACCTACTTCATTTCTATCGGAAGCTAGAGTGATTTACACAGACGGACAGACGAATAGACTGACAGACGCACAGAAGGGAGGACATTGCTAAATCGACATAGAATTGTATGATGATCAAGAGTATATATACTTTGTGGGGTCTCAAATGTATATTTCGAGGTGTTACAAACGGAATGGCAAACTTCATATACCCTCCATACATATTTTTTCTTCAGACCTCAATACAACAAATTTGTCTACAAATAGTGGATTTGACCCAAAAAGAAATTTGAGTTAGAGTTCAAATTTGATATTATTTCCCTCCCTTCGCCCTACCAACCTCACCTATAGCCATGTCCCATTGCTAGCCACCACGATGATATAAAAGTCCAATGCCATGTAGCTTTAAAGCTTTTAAGCCAATATTAAATGTAGCATAAAGACACAAAAGCGATTATGTCCATTCACATGGCACTGGCAGAGTTTGCCACAAAGAGCCAGGGGGGAGGAGGTGAAGTTGGGAGGTGATACAATGCCATAATACAAATAAACAAATACGTATTTAGATAAATGAATAGAACAGAATAACATGTATATGGAATAAGGGAAAATGGAGGAAGTGTAACATAAATACAACACTGGAATAAATCAAATAAATTTTATTAGTTTAGTTTTCCTTCATAGAATTATTTATAAGAGGTCTCAAATAGGTATTCTACTCGAAATAAGATCCAAAACATTTCCCAAAAAAAGAAATAAATAAATATAATAAAATAAATAAATACAATAAATAAAATAAATATAATAAATAAATAAATAAAATAAATAATAATAATAATAATAAAATAAATAATAATAAAATAAAATAAATAAAATCCAAAAAAGGTCTTATGATCTGTAGAATGACAACACTCCACTTCAGGTTCAACATATCTTTCTAAAATGTCTGCGTCCTCGTGAACATCTATGTCTCGAAACACTTGTTTGGTGCAATCCGAAATATTTGCAAAGATTCGTGACTTCTTTCCCTGTATTTAAGCTCTGATGATTTCAAATGTCCCGAAAGGGGCGTTAATAACGAATGCGGAATTAAATCGCTTTTTTAAATTTTACATAATTTTTTTTAAGATAATACATAGTACTTGTTTTATTACCCTTTTCGGGAAAAACATGGGGAATTTTTGTTCCCATGAATTCCCCTCGAAAGGAATTTTGCAATCGTTAGATTCCGGCGAAATATTTCTTCTCTTTTTTAATCAGCTGATAAAACTTTGTAAGGCTATCAGTGTAAAGTGAATGAAATCAAAATAAAAAATGTTAATAATTGAATTCAAACAAGTTAGAAAGCAGTAAGTTCGGCCGGGCCGAACTTTGAATACCCTCTACCATTTGGAACGAATTTGGAAATTTTCAAAAAATAAAATCCTTAAAAAATTCTGCTACAATTTTAAAAATACCGAAGATAGTAGTTATATTGGGGTGTATACGACGTGGACCTACATAGGCATATCGTATATAGAGGTACCGTTATATCGGAGCTGTGCGAAGACCTGGACCAGCATGGACAATTTTCTCTCACAGGCTGTAGTATCCATTACGAACTTCAAATACCAAATTTGAACCAATTCCGGTTAATAAGGTCGCTAAAATCATCAAAATACCGAATACGAAGACCTGGACCTGCACAGATAATTTTCTATCTTAGGCTGTAGTATCCATTTCGAACTTCAAATACCAAATTTGAAAAACTCCGGTGAATAATGTCGTTAAAATCAACAAAGTACCGAATATCGGGAGGTACCGATATATGGGTGTTATATGAAAACGGGGACCTACATGGCCCATTCACAAACTTAACCTGCCTTCTAGAAACAATAAGCATGTGTGCAAAATTTTAGCCTTCTATCTCAATTCGTTCGAAGGACAGCCTGGACATGGCTAAATCGTCTTAGAATTTTACGCCGATCAAGAATATATATACTTTGTTGGGTCTGACATGAGTATTTCGAGGAGTTACAAACGGAATGACGAAATTAATATACCATCCAAAGTATGGTGGAGGGTATAAAAAAATGGTTCTGACATTATCCATGCTGACTAATGCAGATCACAATAATGTTACAATACCAGTCATACAATTTCGGTCTTGCCTATGAATGTTTGTTGAACAAGTTTCTGGGTCGAGACTTGTTTTGGACTGGATTTCTCTGAGTTCCCATATCACTCAGATACTTTTTCACTGTTAGCGAATTTGCCTTCGGTGATTTTTTCGAGTACGGCCAAACCTTGTTTTTTTCTGGATTTTATCGCAATTCCCATATCACTCCGATATTATTTCACTGTTTTCCCCTCACATTGCAACTTTTTTCAAGCTCTCTATAGGATTTAGTAACTTTACCATCGGTAATTTTTCGAAAGGTGCTTCACATAGAAGAGTAGTTCAAATTACACTTTTTCCAGAACCAAGTTTTTTTTTTTTGTAAACAAAGTACAGATCGCATTTTTTGCCCGATCCAGATGAAATTTTACACAAATCATTACTGTGCACCAATTCAAACAGCAAAGAAGGCCTAAAAATAAGTGTGCCAAATTTTATCTAAATCGTTTCAGATATAGCTATAGCTCCCATATATAGTGTTTGTTATTTTTGTCCTCCGCAGCCGAAATATGCACTCTGTAACATCGATATTTCGGGAAATATATCAAATTCTTCTCTAACATACCTTTGCCAAATTTCATCGACATCGGTTCAGATTTGGATATAGCTCCCATATATATCTTTATCCGATTTTAAGTTAAATGTTCACCAAATGGGTAATAAAAGTCGGCCCGGACTTTAAGACTTTCTTTACTGGTTAAATATGAAATTACAGATTTAAATTATATAATTTAAAATATATAACAGAAACATTGCAGCAGAACCTATCCCTATATCACAGAGCTTAACTCATTCAAGTAATTGCAATAGAATATTAGTGTTTAATTTTGTCTTCACACATTAGTTCGTAGAAGAGATAATTTTAGGTAAATCAAGTAAAAAACAGCTAAGTTCGACCGGGTCGAACTTTTTATACCCTCCGCTATTTGGAAGAAACTATCAAATTTTCAAAAAAAAAAAAAAAAA